TTGCAAAGCGATGGGCGGAGCGTCGGTGGGGGGAGGCGGGAATCAAAGTACGCAAACACCGAGTCTCACTTTTTTTATTCCTACAATAAAACGGGTAAAACAAACAAGCAAAATTTTTTGTTCCCAAAATTTTAAGTTTTATATGTATATTGTAGGACAATTAAAGACACACATTCTCTCAAAATTTGAGAAAATTTGAATCATTTTGAGCCGAGTTATAGCCAAACTCCAGAAAAATACATTTTATGCTCCAGTGAGCACATCTCAAGAGCAAGTGTTCCAAACCGCTTCAAAGTTTTTTTTTTGGGTAGCTAATTAATCTACACCAAACATTTTTTATTACAAAGCCAATCTTTTAAAAAAATTCTGACGGAAAATTGTTTTTTTTTACTTCTGGAGTCATCGTCACGTCTGTCAAAATTCAGAAGACACAAAAATTGATTGAATTTCAGAATACTTATATAGCGATTTGTTAGAAATTAAGATACATTTAACAAAAAAGTTTTCGATGATTGGACAAGTTTGGGCAAAGTTATGAACAAAAGTATATAGTGACACTCACTAATGTTCACCACTGTTAATGAATTAAAAGTAAGAGCTTTGGGTGGCCTTCTATGTACTAGAGTGTTTATGGTAATCAGATAATTTTCATATTTGAAGTTTTCTATTCAAAACAAAAGATTACCAAGACTTAGGAGATCACAAAAAACGTTTAAAAAAACGAAGCATATTATCCATAAACCAGTGTGCCTTTGTGTCTCAAATTTCCGTAATTCGTTTTTATCCTAATTTCTCGTTTTTCTGTTTTTTTTCGCTTCCCAAAAATTTTTAATCAATGTCACAAAGAAGTTAGAAAATCTAGTTGGCCGAAAAAAATTGAGAAAATGTATAGAAACCCGCATACTAGAATAATACTAGTCTTAAAAATACGAAGAATTCCGAGTTATGAGAAACAGCCGGAATAAGAAGAATGAACATCATTTCATAATGAGGTTCCGTCATGAAACTATTTGTCTGTGAATTCATTAAAGATATACATATATGATAAATAAGCCCAACTGGTAGTGTCATATTTGTTCCGTAATGAATGCGAGAACCTGAAAAACATATAAAGGGAACAAAAATGAATAGAGTAGACAATCGTATTAGTCTGCACGCTTTTCTCCCACAGAAAAATTACGAATTGCAAGTTTAGTTTTGCTCTACCATGACAAATTTTGTGTCTGAATTTGTGGAGATTCAAGATGATTCAAAGGATTGTGCAGTGCAATCAAATTATTCATATTTAAACCATCGTTTACACAACCAGTATGATAAGGGGAAAAAGATCAGAAGAGCATAATTTAAAGAAACAGGAAAAAGGAAGGAAAAGAAGATTTGATCATGTTGACCCATAATTTTTGGGCGAAAAAAAATCGATAAAAAAGTCGTGTTGGAAGTTAGAAAAAAGAGGAAAGAGAAAAGGTTAAGACCACGAATAAAACATATTTTTATGAGATCATTTGACATGACAATCGGTATAGGCGGAAATTATTGAATATCATATTTAGTCAGAAGCCCAAAAAGCTCGGTGGAGAATTTCTTGAATTCGTCCTTGTTGGTTTTCTTGAGCGTTTCCAGTCCATTGATCACCATGGAGCCTGTAAAACATAGAAAAATTAATGATGGCCTAGAACCCCCCAAAAGCATGGCCTAGGACTCCAAAACCGTGGCCTAGAATCCGGAAACTATGACCTAGGATCCGAAAACCAAGACCTAGAACACCCAAACCATGGCCTAGAATCCCGAAAACCATGGCCTAGAACACCCAAACCATGACCTAGAATCCCAATACCATGACCTAGAATCCCAAAACCATGGCCTAGAATCCCAAAACCATGGCCTAGAATCCCAAAACCATGGCCTAGAATCCCAAAACCATGGCCTAGAACACCCAAACCATGACCTAAAATCCAAAAAACATGGCCTAGAATTCCAAAACCATGACCTAGAATCCCAAAACCATGGCCTAGAATTCCAAAACCATGACCTAGAATCCCAAAATCATGACCTAGAATCCCAGAACCAAGACCTAGAATCCCAAAACCATGGCCTAGAATCTCGAAACCATGACCTAGACCCCCAAAACTATGGCCTAGAGCCCTCAAACCATGGCCTAGAACACCCAAGCCATGGCCTAGAATCCCGAAAACCATGGTCCTAGAATCCCAAAACCATGGTCTAGAATCCCAATACCATGACCTAGAATCCCAAAACCATGACCTAGAATCCCAAAACCATGACATAAAATCCCGAATCTCCAAAAACTCACCTATGAGCATACTATGATTGCTGGCCTCCTCGCTGACTCTCTCCTTGGTCTTCTTGATCTTCTGAGCCAAATCGGATTTTGGCACATCCTCCGATTCTCCATCATCCGAATCCTCAAAGTCCTCTTCCACGTCTTCTGGCTTCTCGTACTTCACATAACCGCCTCCTCCCATCTTCACCTCCATCTTCACCGCTGGCTGCTCTCGGAGCATCTTCTGAATGTCCAGCGACGTTGGAGGAGAACGTCTTGGCGATAAAGCTGGCGAGTCGTCGAGATCGATATATCTCGGAATTTCCTGCCCTGGACGTCCGCCGTTATAAGTGACCAGTGGAGTCTGCCTCTTGATGGTTGGCGGCACAGCGGCTCGATTTCCAATGAGAGAATCCCGTTTTCGACTGTCGACTAGAAGACGTGCGGGGCCGAGAGATGTGTTGGTTCCGACGATGCCAGCGTCTGGAGGTGCCACGATGACTCGATGAGTTGGAGCAGGTCCGTTTCGGAGGATTCCACGATGAGCCGAGTAGTTCTGTGGAGCCGGGGGGCGAGGGACAACGGCGAGACGTGGAAGGCGACCCAGGTGGGATTCTGGAAAAATTGAGAATTGAGGTTTTAGGTCAGCCCCTGATATTCGGCAGAGCGGCCGATGGTGTATCACGAGGTGCAGGGGCCAAAATATCACTAGGTGTAAATCACATAAGGGTCCCCCTTATGTGGTTTTTTTGGACATTGTTTTTTGAAAAGCTGAAAATCATAAGGGTCCCCCTTATGTGTCGCATATAGTGTTCGAAATAATAATTCTCAGTTGTATCTCGATTTGGTGGTACAAAGGTTGAGAACTCGGGAAAGGAGAACTGCTACAAATATGAACTCATAAAATACAGGTCAAAAGATGGATGTTTTTTTTACAAAAGTTAGTTCCTGAGCCGGTAAACTGAGTTCTCATTATATAGTTCTTATTTGTAGCAGTTCTCACGTAAAAAGTTCTAATCCTTTGTACCACCCTCGATTTACATCACTATTTGTCGTTAAAGTCTGTTTTTTTGAAAACAGTGCAAAACAGTGTACTTTCTCCGCCTGAGCGGGACACCTCGTGGATCTAACAGAAAGGACCCTACTTTTACTTTTTCTAGACCTAAATTTCATGGCAAACACGATGACACCTGTGCTGGACCGAGATATAGACGTTATGGGGGTGTTTCGAGCCATTTTTGTATCATAGGCTACTGTAGATGTTGCTTTTTTAAGTTGTACCGAGCCGGAGGGGCTATATTGCTGTCGGCCACCTATCCCATTTTGTTCGTCATAAAATTTGGGTAACGAAAAAAACAAACAAACGGTTCTTCATGTAATATCCACGAGGTGCAAGGTCTCTTTTTCTTGTTTTCCAGTAGCTGTTTTCTTTTCTCTGCGCTCTCTTCGACACCGCTACTGCGACAGCCCACTCCTCGTCTCATAATCGATTTAGCGGCAGTAGACGACAAGGGCAGTGTGGTGTACACAGGTAGAGGGGGACTGTCGAAAAACGGGCCGTCTGGCGGGCGCGGACTGCCGAAAAGCGAACAGTCGGCAGTCGAATCGCGCGCCGCCGACGGTCCGTCTGTTACGATTTGCGCCTCGAAGACGGACCGTCTCTAATGATAGCGCCTTCTTGACAGTTCATCATTAAACAGGTAATAAACAATATAAATTCTTTATTCAACTAATAGTTTCTGTGGATTGTGTATTGTTTTTAAAAAGTAACTCTGATTTTTTCAAAGGTGAATTTTTATGAGTAGAACAAGAGAAAATACATAAGAAATCACAAGTTCTGAATTAGACAGAACTTCCGATTTTCTGTGTTTTCGCAAAATTCAAACTTTATAGAAACTCAACTCGGAAAATCAGAAGCTTTTTTTATTTCCTTTCGTTCTCTTTCTCTTCTTCGTTTCTCCCTTTCAACTTTTTTCGTTTTTCGGTATGTACATTTCTCTCATAGAACAGTATTTTTCGCTTATAAGTACGTTCAAAATAAGTAAAATTGATGCGTTCGCAACACTAAATCCTGACAAGTGAAAAATCTTTAGATTTTTAGGCTCTGCGGCATTTTAAAGCAGACTTCAAAAGGGCGACGTTTCGCATGTGAAATTTAAAAAACGAGTCAGAAACAGCAAAAACTGATTTTCGTATTAATTTTTGTGCGAACCTTGTAAAGTTGTTACTTTCCAAACATTGCACTTGCAAAATGTCACACCTATGAAGTATCGGCGAGGTGAATTTTCGACAACGCATGAACAATTTCAGAGTTTACGATAGTTTTTGCTTCGGAACGTATAAAAACTTACCAACTCACCATATAAAAACTCCTGAAAGGCAGCATTCGTAACGTTCCGAAGCAAAAAATAGCGAAACTTTCGAAACTTTCATCGCAAGGAGTTTTCGCCGATTTTTTCTGCGTTTTCAACTAAAAACGCGCAGAGCGAAAGTGCGCAAAGCTTTTCAGTGCTTCTTTATGCCAGTAGTTAGATAAATCAAGCGAAAAATACTGAATTTCAATAAGAGAACACTTCGAAAAGCGAAAGAAACTGAAAAAAAGACGAAAAATTAGTAAAGTCTTGTGCCGCTAAACAAGGTGCAGTCGGGATTTCGGAGTGTCGTTGCAAATCTCTATGACCGAAATTTTGAAACTCGGCAGTTATAAAACGGCATTTAAAAACGAATTGTTCTGATTTTTGAAGAAAAACGGAAAAAATAGCACTTTCAAACACAAATTGTACAAAATTAAAAGCAAATTTCGTCGGAAATCTTAAGCAAGTTGAAAAATATGACCGAGAACATGTGTCCTGAACGATTGATTATTATCATGCGATGACAACTCGAGTAAAGATTTTGGAACACGAAAATGCTAACACATGCTTCTAGATATATACCAAGGAATGCTCAAACATAATTTTTTATTCAGCCGCCATCAACCAGTCAGCGCCTATTCGACTGTCATTTAGCAGTTTTTCACCAACCGCGCCTCAAAGCCTAATTTTTATAGAAATGCTTCTAATAACGCATTTTTTAGCTTCCCAGACCCCTCTATGACTTTTATGATGTTTTTAGAGAGAACTATTTTTTTCAACAAAATTTTCCATTCTGAAGGAATTTGGACCGCCAACCACCGGTCATTGACCAGTCAGCGCCTCTTCGACTGTCATTTAGCAGTCGTTCGACAACCTATTTTTTGAGGTGGTCCTATTTGAGGAAAATAAGATTCTATCAACATTCTATAATCTAGTGGGAGTATGAGAAATTGTTTTCTGCATGATTTCCAATCAGAACCTTCAATTATGTTTTCCAATCGGTACCGACTGTCCGTCGACGAACCGTCCATCACGTCAAAATGACCTGGAAATGGCCTGACATGCACATGGTGTGTTTCCTAGGCCATTTTCAAGTAATGGCCTAGAAAACCGAACTTGCAAAAGTTAGGCCACTAGATAAAAACCTCCTAAATTTGAAATTGGCGGCTTAAAAACCTAAAAGCAGTCCCTCCGTCGCAGTCCCTCCGTCGACTGGTGTGCACCTAGTGAGTTTTTCAAAATTTCCGTACACCTAGCAGACATGAGCGGAATTCCTTATTCCTTATTCCGGGTGTTTTTTCTATTCCTTATTCCTGATTTTTTCTTATGCTTCCGGATAATTCGAACAATTAAAAATTAGAAAAAACGCTTTCTAAACCTAAACTACCACTTAAAGGTGGGGGGGGGGGGACATGAAAAAAATAATGTTCTCGAAATTCCGTTCAAAGATGCCTCTCGAGGAGTTGAACTTGTGAGGGCGATGATTGAGGGTGCGGCGCCGCTACCGACTGAGCCACGCGGGCAAAGAGAAAGCGGTCGCCCGATTGGATACATAAAGGCGAGGACGACAGCTGTACGCAGAGTGACATTAAGCGTTGTACACCGTGACGGTAGAATGCATAGTCTAGCTACAAAAAAACTACGAAAAATCTCCTGTCCCCCCACCTTTAAAAAGTCGTTCAATGAAGCCTAAAAACGGACCGTCGACGGCCCGTCGGTTCTCCTTCGGCTGCCAACTAGCAGTCATTCGCCAGTTTGCGCCTCTTCAGCTGTCATTTAGCAGTTTTTTTTTTTAATTTTTTATTTAGCAGTTTTTCAAAGCCCGAGAAAGCCCCGTATACTTTCGTGTCTGGTCTCTTTTAAATCACTTGCTTCTCTTTTTTTATAGAACATGTTTCCATTATTTTATTATTTTATTTATGTAAAACAAGGTTAACAATCATTTTAACAAGGAGAAAAGCAACAGAAAAACAGACGTAAATTTTCACAAAATCTCACTAGGTGTCAGACATGAGCGGAATAAAATTTTTAAAAATCCGGAAGAAGGAATAAGGAATAAGGAATAGGAAAAACACCCGGAATAAGGAAGAAGGAATAAGGAATACGGAACAAAATTTCGGAAAAAGCCGAATGTTTTTTGAAATATTTTGATAAAACATATAAAAGAGGAATTTAGGCTTCATTAAACGACTTTTTAAGTGCTAGTTTAGGTTTAGATAGCGTTTTTTCTAATTTTTAATTTCAAATTTTTAATTGTTCGAATTATCCGGAAGAATAAGAAAAAACACCCGGAATTAGGAATAAGGAATTCCGCTCATGTCTGCTAGGTGTACGGAAATTTTGAAAATCTCACTAGGTGCACACCAGTCGACGGAGGGACTGCGACGGAGGGACTGGTTTTAGGTTTTTAAGCCGCCAATTTCAAATTTAGGAGGGTTTTTATCTAGTGGCCTAACTTTTGCAAGTTCGGTTTTCTAGGCCATTACTTGAAAATGGCCTAGAAAACACACCATGTGCATGTCAGGCCATTTCCAGGTCATTTTGACGTGATTGCCTAGAAAACCAAACTTGCAAAAGTTAGGCGACCACTTCAAGATAAATTCGCCTCAACAAAATTTTCGAGAAATTTATGAATTCTTTTTCGTTTTTTGTTTAAAATTCGAGGCTTATTCCTTTTTTTGGTCATTAAAGATTTCTAAGCCCCGCCCCCTTTTTTGAGCCATATTACATTTCATTACAGCTTTTTTGGCCTAAAAATCCCAATAAAAACACACCAGCCACAAAATTCTTGGGAAACGGATCCGACGCATCTCCAGAAGCCGCCTTATCACCGCCTCCTTCACTCCGACCGCCCGAAATTTGGCTCATCAGCGCTTCGGCCAAATTCACCGGCGGTGTCTTTTCCTTCGCTGACGATGCCTCCGAATCCGCCTCAGAGTGTGGAGATTCCATTTGGAGCACCGGCGGTCCGTCGTCGTTTTCCGACGCATCGGCGATCGGTTTTGACGCGGCGCTGAGACGGGCCGAGACGCGGCGAGTGCTCATTTGAAGCTGAAAAATTTTGAAATTTTGGGATTTTAAGAAAATTAAAAACTGGAGAAAACGACGAATTGCAGCTGAAAAACTGCTCAACAATCGATAAAAAAAAGTTTGTCATGTTTTTTCGGCTAAAAATCGCATGTTCCCCGAAAAAATCTGAAATTTTTTGCTGAAAATTAAGAAATTTACACTAAAATTTTGACTAAAACTGAAACTTCCCGAAAAAAAAACGCGGAAAAAATCTGCAAAATGCCGAAAAAAGCCAAAATTCATCGCCAAAAAAGACAAAAAAAAGCAAAAAAATGGCGATAGAAGAGTTTTCTTTCTCGGTCACCTCTTTTTCGCGGCCACGTCCCTCGGGACGAGAGAGTAGCGGCAAAGAGAAAAAGAGAAAAAAGAAAGAGAAATTTTTGTGAAGGAGGTTTCTCATAAAATAGGAAAGGTCGGATGAAATTCAACTTTTCGTTAAAATTTAAGATCTTTTTGAGTTTTCTATGTCAAAATTTGTTTTCTAGGCCACGATATTAAATTTTGATTGTTTTTGAAATGCTGAAATGCTTTAAAAGTGCTCCGGAGCCATTTATATAACTGCAGAGAACCTAGAAAATACTCTAAAAATCTTAAAAAAGAATTTTACCCCAAGAGGAGTTGAACCCGAGACCCCCTATTCATGGCTGATTGACAGTCAGGCTTCTTCCCGGCTGCGCCAAAAGTGCGCGAGTTTCCGCTCGTTGCGAAAAGCGGTTCATAAGGCTCATGAAAAACACCGATGAGGCCACCGCTTTATAAAGGCTTCTCCCTCGCCGCGAAGACTCACTCACGTTTGGCGCAGCCGGTAACACGCTTGACTAGTAATTAGTCGAGAAGGGGGACACTCAGGTTCAAACTTTCTTGTGGCAATTCCTTTTTTTATTGTTTTTTATTGAAATTCTGAGTGAAAATCGAGTGGAATTTATTACATTTGTGAGAACATCAATACAAAGAACAAGAAGAAAAGGTTGAAAAATAATTATTTCTTCCGGAAAAACATGATAAATGCGGTTATAATTGGGATTGATGCGATTATTCTTCGATAGCCCCATATCACGGCTTTCAGTGAGACGTAGGTGGCGGCAACTGAAAATAAAGGATTTTTAATGAAAAAATTCGAGAAAATCGGCTAGTAAAGATTATTTTCAAACTTCGCGCGCAAGTGGACGCCCAGTGGAGCGCGTTTGCTTACTTTTTGTCGGTGAAACCTTCCAACTTGTCGCTCGATCTCTCCAGCTGGATTTTTCGTTTTTAAATTTTTTCAGCACATTTTGAATTTCCTCCCGATTTGCCTCCATCTCCCTCTTCATCATTTTCAGCTCCTCCTTCCCGGAAAGCTCTCGAATTTGCTTGAAATTCAGTGAAAGTTCAGATTTTTCCATAATTTCCAGCTTCTCCCGTTCCAGATTATGGATTTTTTGCTGGAATTTATTCACAATTTCCTGATGTTGTTCCATTGGAATTGTATTCAATAATTTGCGCATCAAATTCTCATTTTCTCTAGTTAGCTGGGCATTTTTCAGCTTCAAAATTCCATTGGATTCTGCGAAATTTGGTTGGATTTTTGAATTTATCCAATTTAGAGGTTTATTTTCTTTCAATTTTTCTCTGGAAGCTTCGCGGAGACTGGTCGGCCTGGAAATCTGGAAAAAAATTTTTAATAGTTTTAGAGGGAAAAAATTGAAAAATACCGTTTCAGCTCGATTTGGGACAGCTTTTGCCAGTTTTTCTGTTAAATCCATCACTTGTTTTTTGAGATACGGAAGCATTTTGCCTGGAAAAATGTAATTTTAAAAAAACGGGTTTTTTAGCATTTAACATACTTAAATTTACTTAAAAATGACAAAAAAGGGTTTAAATTTGTTTTTTTGCCGAAAAATCGAGAAAAAATCTAAAAAAGCACCGAAAAATTACCAGTTGAAAAATGAATTTCAAATCGCCGCGCAAAAAATGCTGATTTTCATCCGTAGAGCGCGCTTGCATTTCCGGTGTTAATTTTCAGCGAATTTTTCAGATAACGATATCTCCGCTCAAACTGAACGAAAAACATTAAAAAACTTCTCGCAAAATTCAATGTTTCTTTTAAAAACATCGGAATTTCATAATGTTTTCTTCCAAGTCTCCAAGATGAAAGACATCGAAGAAGGCGAATGGAGAGACTCCACGAAGACTTCTGAGGACCACGTGTATAAAAATTGCAATTTTTCAACGAGAGTGCCAAATAAGTACTTTATTGTTTCAACTGCTGATTCAAACTATATTTCAACGGAATGTGGGGAAAATGATCATTGGGGTGGGGAAAGAATGTGAATAGAATTGTGAGATGCGAAAGGAGACGTTGGAGATCGGAGACGACATCTAGGCCTTCTTATCTGGGCACGCCGAAGCCTGAATGAAGCTGTTGGGGCACTGCTTCGAGCAACAAATGGTAGCCAAGTCCACCTCCGATCCAGATGCTGAAAAATAATTGTTTCAAAATAATAGAGGATCGAATTTCAACTTACCTATATCACCACAGACTTCAGCGATCTTTTCCAGAAGCTTGAAGCCACACGATCCACGACGAGCTCTGGATTTCTTGGCATACTTCTGGAGTTCATGGATGCCCTCGAACATCTTCGCGTAGAGTTGAGCTTGCTTGTCCTGGTCCTCCTCCAGCTGCTCCTCAAGAGATTCCATGTGGTCGGAGGATTCCTTCAAGTTGAAAGTGTGGACAGCCATGATGAAGGCCAAGAAGAAAGCGAGGACCATGAACTTCATGTTGGGAGAAGGGAAGAGTAGAGAGACAGGGATTTCAAGCGAATATCATTGGATTTCAGCAGCTTTTAAGGAGCTCGAGATTTAAAGGCGGAGCTAAGATTTTTGGGCTAAGGGGACAGAGAGGGCACCGAAGAGCTCTAGAAGGGCGAGAACTAGGATTTGAGCATGAGAAGGGCGGGAGCAAGAAGACGTCAGCTGGCGAGAAGAGGGAGGGGACAATTAGATGACACCTTCAAGAGAATGAAAACAAGTTGAAGAAGGACAGTGAACAAAGATGAAGAGCAGAACATTTTTGAAAATTGAAGGTTGACGATTTTGGGAATAGGTTATGTGATTTTTTGAACAGTGACGCGGCGAGGAGATTGTCTGAGAATGTCTGAAATTCGATCCTTAAAATTCTGAATTCCCGGATCCCTGGATTCCTGCGTCCTCGATTTTCTGGATTTCCAGATTCCTGGACTTCTGGATTTTCAAATTTATGGATAATTGGATCCTTGAAATTATGGATTCCTGGTTTCTTGAGTTTCTGCATCCCTGATTTCCTAGAATCCAGATCCTTGTGCTTCTTGATTCCGTTATCCCAGGATAACTAGATTCCTGAAATTATGGATTTTGGGCAGATTCCGGGCTATGCTCCTTTTTGTTCTCATTGAAATCAAAGTCTGAAAAAACAATCTGAAAAAATGTTCCAAACCAAAAAGTTCACTTTTCAAGAACAAAAATTCTCAAGACTCGTGGTTTTTGGAGTTTTTTCTTGCAAATTTTCAGACTTTGGATTCCCACACTTTTAGAACTTTTTGGAAATTTGGAAAATAAACTTTTTGTCTGAATTTTAGTTTTCTTCTTGACCATATTTAGATGAGCAATCTGTAGGTATTTGTAGTTGTACTAATTTCTTCTGGATCATTCTAAAAGTATTCTATTAGTTTTTTTAAAGTAAAATAGTCTTCTTGATCTTACAGATTCAAAAATTCGAAAATGGAACGTTACAACTACAAAAAATTATACTTTGAGAGACAATTCAAATACCATCCACATACATTTTCAGCACATCCATGGAATACTTCTATTTTTGAATTTCAGATTTCCGTTCGATCTCGAAAGCCCAAATCTGAAAATTGTCTAAAAGAAGAATATTTCATTATACTTTGTAACTTTTGTATTCAAGAGCAATCAAGAGATTGGAATGTATTAATTGTTATTGAGAATACAAAAAACAAGTTTCTGACTTTTCAAATTTCGTATATTTTGGGTTACGGTAATTCTAAAATACAAAAGAGATTGCCAATTTTATATTCGGAGAAACTGTAAAACCTGTATTAGCACGGCACCCTCACTTTCAAGTTTAAGCTCAATTATCTCAATTCTTAAGCAAGTTATCAAAAAGTTGACAACTAATAAAAACTTAATCATAATATCAAAGATATTCTGTCAGTTGACTACTCCGTGATATTTTCACAAAAAATGAGATAAACTGGCTCAAAGTGTTGACAGTATGGGGGCCTTCTATTAAAGTCACCATCTCATTTGTGTTCCTTCTAGGACATTCTGCTACTTCCTTTCTTTCAATTTTAGCTCTTTCATTATGTCATCGGCTTAAGAAGCCATGTAAATGTTTCAATCATCTGTCTGAACATTTCAAAGTGCTGACTTCCCAACAAATCCGTTTGGCATATGCAAAGTTAGTCATAAGAACATCCGTTTGGAAGTCAGAAAGTGCGTCTGAAATGCAAAAAATAGCAATAATCCTATACTTTTTTTGGTACAAGGATTCCTATAGTATGAAAGATTGCTAATCAGTAAACAGGTGACGAAGCAGTCTGAAAGTTCGGATTTCTGAAGAAAAAATGACACCAAAATGTGCATTCAAAAGGGTACAGGGTTTCTAAATGTTGAGGTTCTGAACCTTCAGAATTTCAAAACCTGCAAAATGAAATCATAACATCATCTGCACTTCATTTTTATCAAATGTTCGATTTGAATTTTGATGCTGAAACTTCAAAATATACAACTTTCCAAATTCTTTCTCTGCCCTTTTTCAGATGTTCAGAACATAATTCCAGTCTATTCAAGTGTGCTGATTTGAACTTCAGAGAATTTGAACACTTGAACTTTTTGTCAACATGTTTCGAGATTCGAATTTCTTTACGAACGGGATTTTTGAACACTTGAAACTTTCCGATATCTTGGGGATTACAGTGAGAAGCCAGATTGTCAGAGCTTTTTGAGATTCTGAAATTCTGAAATTCTCCGACTTCTAATGTTTCTAGTTTGCTCCATTTTTCGAAATTTCTAGAAAACTCGTTTACCAGGAATTCCAAAAAAAAAATAGTTCCTTTGTAGTTTTTCTCTTGACACGCTAATCAGTCTGTTTATCAGTTTTGCACTAATAAATTATTGTCTATTCAAAATAATCGCGCGAGTGAACGAGTGAAAATGTCTGCGTCTCTACAGCGCCTCTATAGGTTTGGAGACTCTCTACACGTTTTTTTTTACTTGTTCACCCGCGCGATTATTTTGAATAGACAATATCACAAAATTTCACACTTTTCCATATTTGGAAGTTAGAATTGTGACTTGACCTCTTCCATAATTTGCACTTATACAACAATAATAATCGGAGACTTTGGGAAAGTTTGTGCTCTTAATTTTGGCATTTCGAATTTTCAAAGGCTTAGAATTTTTGAATCGTCAGCAGAAACCAGAAACTTCTGAAAAATTTATTTTTAATCCAAAAATGAAAATAGATGACAACATTTTGTTCTTTCAACAGCCCTCCCAAAGTGGGAATTTCCAAAAAACCAAAAAAAAAAACAAGTGACGAGATTCTAAGAAATGTTGCTGGGTCTGGGAAAATGCTCATAGTGCAGAAATCAGAAAAAATGACACCAAAATTTACATTCAAAATGGTTCAGAGGTTCTCAATATCGATGTTCTGAATCTTGGAATCTCAAAATCTGCAAAAATAGAATCATAACATCATCTTCACTTCATTTTCCCCATTTTTCAATAACAAGCAATTTGAAAATGTGCGATTTCAACTTGAAGAAATTTTGAAACTTCAAAATATACATTTCCCAAATTCGTTCTCTGCCCTTTTCAGATGTTCAGAACATAATTTAAGTGTATTCAAGTTTGCTGATTCGAACTTCAGAAAGTTTGAACGCTTGATCTTTTTGTCAACAAGTTTCGAGATTCGAATTTTTTTTAATAAGCGGGGTTTTTGAACACTTGAAACTTTGGGGATTTCAATGAGAAGCCAGATTCTCAGAGAACTTTGAGCAGAGTTACAGAGATATTCCAAAGGTTTCAGATTAGTTATTTTCAGAGAAACAACACGGTGACGATTTGTGTTGTTTTCGAAAGACAATATCCATATTTTGAACTTTCAGAAAATGTAGGAATAATTGTACAAAAAACATGTTATTGACAATTTCAAAGATTGAATACAAAACTACGAAAATGGCTAGACAGTGATTGGAAACAAGGAACAACAACTGAAATTTTGGTTTAGAAAGATCAAAAGATTCTATTAGTCGGGAAAGCCAAAAAAAATTTGAAAAGTTTGAGAAAATTCTGGAATCTGTTTCCTGGGGATTCAGGTTTTGAAAACTCCACAAAACCTAAAAATCAAAATGTGACCTTTCAAAATGTATATTTTCCGGTACCGTATTCCCTAGGAGAGTTCCAATAGGATCATCTTCCCACTCATCATACTATATAATGTCTGCTATACAACTACAAAGAATTTTCAGATATCTGAAAATACAATAAACAGATTTATAGAGTCTGTTACGTAGGAGAGACAAGAATTTTTGAATTCAAGACTCAGGCATAATTTGGGACTTGTGGAAATGAGATTTTGAATGAAATTTCAGTCTTAAAAACGGAGAGATATTTGTTTTCAATAATACTTTTCTTTTTTTTCTCAGATTTGCTATTCTTCATATTTTGGACACACCCATTTTCTCATGGGTGGTCTGGCTTCTTCCTTATCCGACTTTCTTTTTGCTCAATTTGGTTAGAAAAATTAGTAGAAGATTGCGTATATAAGAATAATGAAAAAAAATTCATATTTAAGAATAATGAAAACCTCTAAAAAGAGTCTGAACCCAACCATGTAATTACACAAAAACACTAAAAAAAATTTAAAAGTTTTCCCCAAGAAGGTTTGAACCCGGGAGTCCCTCCTTCATGGCTGATTGGCAGTCGACCGTGTTATCGCGTATACCAAACGTGCATGAGCTGTCTCGGCGGCCGAGAAGCTTTTATGAAGCGATGGAATCATGACCGTCAATCATAACCTTTTTAAACCCCTCTCCGCTAAATCCGAAAGCTTGCACACGTTTGGCGCAGCCGGTAAAACGCTTGACTGTTAATCAGCAATGACACAGGTAGAGGGGGACTGCCGAAAAACGGGCCGTCTGGCTGGCGCGGACTGCCGAAAAGCGAACAGTCGGCAGTCGAATCGCGCGCCGCCGACGGTCCGTCTGCAACGAATTGCGCTTTGAAGACGGACCGTCTAAAATGATAGCGTCTTCTTGACAGTTCATCATTAAATAGGCAATAAAAAATAGAAATTCTTCATTAGTATAATAATTTTTGTGGATTGTGTATTGTTGTTGAAAAAATAACTCCAATTATTTAAAAATTGAATTTTTATAAGTGGAATGAGAGAAAACACATTAGAAATTACAAGTTCTATAAGGAACATAACTTCGATTTTCTTTCTGTGTGTTTTCGCAAAATTCAAACATAATAAAAATCAAACTTTAAAATCCGAAAATTTTTTTCGTTCCTTTCGTTCTCTTTCCCTTCTTCGTTTCTCGATTTCCACTTCTTTCGCTTTTCAGCATTTCTCTCATTGAACAGTATTTTTCGCTATTTTTTTAAAGTTTCTTTCTGAATAAGTAAAAAAAAAACGGGTTAGTTTGAGCACGAAAACTGACATTTGATGGAAAAAATCTTTAGGTTTTCAAGCTACGCGGAATTTTTAAAGC